AGGGTGTCTTGAATTCAGGTAAATACATCACACTCCATATGTCAAGCATAAAGGCCACTTTGGTATGAACTATGATCTCCTTTCCCTTAGCTTCACCTTCATTTCTTTATCCCTGCAGTGATGTCAACAAAACATGCAACATCACCATGAACTTCTGTAAAAGGAGGAGCTGTGAAGGACATGTCCTTACTACAAAAGCTAGAAATTGGAATGGAACAGGAAAATATCAGTCAAGTCTTGATTTGTTCAGAATTACACCGACTTCCCCAGAGTTTTCTGTAAAGAAACCCAAAGATAGAATTCCCTCTTTCAATACAGACAAGACTCAACAGCATTTCCTTACCTGCAACGATCGCCATAAGCACAGCATCCTCGCTGATAATACCTGCACACCATGGCAGACTGACTAGTAGAGAGGTCATGGGAGTAACGGCAGTTGTTCCCTTCCTTGCAAACCCCATGCATGAAATACCTACAAGACAGAAGGTTACAGAGCTAAGCCAAAAAGGAAAACTTGGAAGTAGTGCTGACAGCATATGATCTTCCAGGAAACAAGACTCAGTGGGCATGTCTACATGTGGGCTAGACTTTGCAGTTGTTACCTGTGCAGTCATTTAGTACTGCTGTTACTGCGCAGTCCCAGTGCTACATGGGTCACTTCTGACACTACTGCACAGAAGTGCTGTCACAGCTTGTGCCCGCCGATGCTACATCATTATAGCTCATTGCTACAGCGACGTAGTATCTTGGTAAATGCACCCAGCATTACTTAAAGAACTTCAGAATTAGGTGATGAGCTATTGACCCACAAGCCATTCTAAGACTAAATAAGTTAAAGACGACACCATACAAACAAAAAAAACACAACTCCACGTTATACAGAGAAAACAACTTTATAGTCAGAGTTATGCCCTTTTAAATGGACTTGGGCTACACTCAAATTTAGGATTCTATTTAGAAACAGCAAGACTGTACTTCTAAGAAGAGGAACATGCTACCCTTGTCTAGAGTGCAAAGCATAACTGAACTCCGGAGAGAGAGACTGGACCACCAACTCAGCAAAGAGATCGGCTGTTTTATTCTCCTGCGTTGACTAGAACACTACAGAAGCTTAATGCCTCTAAGCCAGAAATTTCCCACTTCCAAAGAATGTTTTCTAATCAATTTGAAATGTACTGCTTGATCAATCAGTAATAATTTCTTTAAGAACAGAGCTATCCATACCATGCAGAATTTCAGTGGTGTTACTGGGCAAGACCACACATCAGCTCCTGAAGGAGTTACACTGCCATAGTAGAATCAAGACCCAAAAGAACACAGATGCACTTTGCCTCAATAGTATGCTTCCACTGCCTGAAAACATAATGAAAATCAACACTAGTCTCAAGACACTGGTGAGTTTAGAGGGCTGAATTTCCCAACACTCTTGCTCTTTACTGATTCATTTGGGAGAAAGTTTCCTATCTGCATTACAGAACTACACAATCTAATGCTGGTAGCTCTATGTTCTTAGAGAAGCTCTTCTTTAAAAGACATCACGTTAAATCTAATTTTAAACACTAGTTATAATGGTGGTATGGTGAATTTTGTTTAAATGTAACGTTATTCTCAACAATCAAATAAATCCAGAAATTGAGTCACAATCACATTTCATATGTTGTTAACATATGCCTAAGTGTTGACATACAGGTTTTTGGGAATAAGTTATAACTGATGACGTAACAGCACAATTCTTTTTTTTTTTTTCTTCCCAATTTGGACATTAAAAACTGGGTGATAACAAATATTTAGAGTCAAATGATCAGATTCTAAGGTGAGAATTAATAATAGAACTTTAAAATGTTAAAAGATGATCTACTTAAAATCCATTTTGAAGTATAAACAAAGCCAAAATAAATCATTGCTGACATTAAGACAAACTGGCAATGCTTTCCTTTTTAAAATGGGTAGGTCTAGCAAACAAAAAGACTGCCTCAAACTATACTAAATTCATTTTTTTAGCTAAAAATCAAGCCAAAGAGATGCTCAAGAAAAATCTCTGAAAATATACCAGTAAATCTGAGACAATTCACTTGCATGTCAAGAAAGTAGCCTTAATTAGAATGAATTCTAACCAAGAGTATCCAAGCAGGAATTCAATTCAATTTAACCAATTTACTTGAATTCACACTGTTGTTCATCTTATCTTGTGTGATCCTTCCCCACATAACACACGAACACCCTTCCCTATACACAGTCAAGTTATAACCCATCTAACAATCATGATGGACCAGCTGTTTTATTATAGTGAAACTATATAAAGTCTTTCACTAAAGGTCAAATTCATGTTTTTACAGAGATGCTCAGAATTCTTCCAGCTATTCCTAGTGACAAGCTGCCCTCTACAAATCAGCTGCCTTTAGAATGTGGAAATTATACATACACAGAGAATTAAATGGCTGGGTTGTAATAAAGCTCAGGATTCAACTATACAGATTTCTGGTGTCCTTCAAGTTTTATCAAATCTCACCAAAAGCTATAAAGAACCATAGAAAATTAGGAGTGGAAGGGACCTCAGGAGGTCATCTAGTCCAACCCCCTGCTCAAAGCAGGATCATCCCCAACTAGATCATCCCAGCCAAATCTTTGTCTAGCCAGGTCTTGAAAACCTTCAAGAAAGGAGCTTTTACCACCTTTCTGAGTAACCTACTCCATTGCTTTACTACCCTCCTAGGGAGAAAATTCTTCCTAATATCCAACCTAAACTTCCCTTGCTAAAATTGAGACCATTGCTCTTTGTTCTGTCTTCTGCCACCACTGAAAACAGTCTAACTCCATCCTCTTTCGAACCCCCCTCCAGGTAGTTGAAGGCTGCTATTAAATCCCCTCTCAGTCTTTTCTCCAGACTAAATAAACCCAGTTCCCTCAGCCTCTCCTCACAAGTCATGTTTCTCAGCTCCTGAACCATTTTTGTTACCCTCTGCTGGACTCTCTCCAATTTGTCTACATCAGGGCCAGACAAAATACAGCCAGGCCTGAAGCTTCTGCTAGACAGGGGCTTCCAGCTGGGTGGCAGGGCCAGGCGGGCCTTGCTATTGCAGGGTCCCACTGTGGCGCTTCCCCTGGGTCCTACTGCCCCTGGTTCCTGTCATCTTTGACAAACAGCCAGGGGCAAATAAATATTAATTTTCCAAAATTTTTAGGGGCCTTGCAAGTCAAATAAAAATGGCCTGGTGGGCCAGATTTGGCCCACAGGCTGTATTTTGCCCAGCCCTGGTACATCATATCCACTGGTCTCCCATCAACCACAGAGCCAGGTATCTCATCACAGAACACAATCAGGTTGGTCAGGCATGACTTGCCCTTGATAAACCCATGCTAACTGTTCCTAATCACCTTCTCCTCCAAGTGCTTAGAAATGGATTCCTTGAGGACCTGGCTCCATGATTTTTCCATGGACTGAGGTAAGGCTGACTGGCCTGTAGTTCCCTGGACCCTCCTTTTTCCCTTTCTTAAATATAGGCACTATGTTTGCCCTTTTCCAATCATCCACGACCTCTCCCTTAGGGGGCATCCCATCCAGCTCCGTGAACTTGTACGTCCAACTTTTCTAAACAGTCCTTAACCTGTTCTTTTGCCACTGTTGGCTACTCACCTCCTCCCCAAACTGTGCTGCTCAGTATGGTAGTCTGGGAGCTGACCTAGCCTGTCAAGACTGAGGTGAAAAAAGGCACTGCGTACTTCAGCCTTTACTGCATCCTGTCACAAAGTTGCCTCCCCCATTCAGTAAAGGACCCACACTTTCCCTGATCCTCCTCCTGCTACCAACTTGTAGAAACCCTTCTTATTACCCTTCACATCCCTTGGTAGCTGCAACTCCAATTGCCCTTTGGCCTTCCTGACTTCAGCCCTGCATGCCCAAGCAATGCTCTTATACTCCTCCCTATTTATTTGTCCAAGTTTCCACTTCTTATAAGCTTCCTTTTTGTGATTTAGTTTGCTGAGGAGTTCCTTGCTAAGCCAAGCTGGTCTTCTGCCATACTCGCTAGTCTTCCAGCACATCAGGATGGTACTGCACTCTCAGTAAGGCTTCTTTGAAGTGCAGCCAACTTTCCTGGACTCCTCTCACCCTCAGACTGGCTCAGGAGATCCTGCCCATGAGTTCCCTGAAAGAGTCAAAGTCTGCTTTTCTGAAGTCCACAGTCCTTACTCTGCTGCTCTCCTTCCTTCCTTTTCTCAGGATCCTGAATTAAATCATCTCGTGGTCACTGCTGCCCAAGTTGCCATCCACTACTACATTCCTCACCAATTCATTTGTGTTTGAGAGTAGCAGGTCAACAAAAGCATGGCCCCTCATTAGCCGCTCCAGCACCTGCACCAGGAAGTTGCCCCCAACACACTCCAAAAACTTCCTAGATCATCTGCGCACTGCTGTATTGCCCTACCAGCGGAAGTCAGGGTGACTGGAGTCCCCCACAAGAACCAGGGCCTGTGATTGGGAAACTTCTGCTAGTTAATTGAAGAAAGCCTCATCTACCACTTCCTCCTGGTCTGGTGATCTAGCAGACACTCACCACAACACAACCCTTGTTGTTCTCCTCTCTGATCCCAAACCAAGGAGTTTCAACAGACCCATCTCCAGTTTCATACTGAAGCTCTGAGCAATCATACAGCTCTTTAACATAAAGAATAACTCCTCCTCCTCTTCTCCCCTGCCTGTCCTTCCTGAACAGTTTGTACCCATCCATAACAGTGCTCCAGTCATGCGAGCTCCCACCAAGTCTCTGTTTCTCCAATCACATCAGTTTCATGACTGTGCAAGGACTTCCATTCTTCCTGCTTGTTTCACAGGCTCCAGAAATTTGGAAGTGGAAATGTCACGGTTCTGGCTTATAAAGAATCATTCTTCTGTGTCAAAAGTTAGTTGGTGTAGTTTGATCAAGCTAGTTTTAATACAGGAGACCTCTCATGAAATCCTCTGAGGGCCGAGATGCGTCTTTGAGCCACAGTCACGACGTTTCACAGACGAGCCTATGAACTTCACTTCATCATCCTCCTGGATACAAAAGACTCATGGACTTAATATAGACACTGGATTTATGACACTACAACCTGCCTGACATCTGACTCCCCAGGTTCCTCTCCACTTTTACCTACTATATCCCCCTGCCCCCACCTGTCTCTCACCCCCTGGTGTGTCAATTTACATTTTCACTGACTGGCTTTCTTGCATGCATACCAGCCTCTGGCTTCTTTACTATTCATTTCATCCAGGAAGAGCACACACCAACTGCAGATTGCTACCCATGAATGGCACATGCCCCCGGCAGCCAGGGGAGAGGCATGGCTGCACTGCTTGTGGTGGGAGCCCAGCAGCAGTGAGCTCCTGCAGACATCACTGGCACTGTCAGCGGGGGGGGGGGGGGGGGGGGCCAAACATGGGGTGGGCAACCCCCTGGGGCGGGGCCCGGGGACAACCAGGG